TTTCATTAGATTTCCTAAAGCTAAAGGTATTTGGGATGCCATTTCCACAACCTATTTTGATGGAGGAGATAATGTCCAAGTATATAGCCTAAAATAAAAAAAGTTAGCCGAAACATACAAAGAAAGGTTTCTCTAAAAGACTACTATACTTGCTTACAATCTTTCTAGCGAGAGATTGACTATAAACGCCCAAATTCCATGACGTGTGATGAGGACATACAAAAATACAATAAATTAATTCAAGAAGATCTAATTTATACCTTCTTGGGTGGTTTGGATGATCAATTTGTTCAGACTCACTGCTACATTCTTCAATAGATCCCCTTACCATCGATCTAGCAAGCCTTCGCTCAAGTGAGAAGAAAGTACACTACACGAACCATAATGATAAAGAAAAAAAGAGAAAGATAGATTTAGTCTACTAACAAGAGGTAGGGACATGAACTGGGGTAAGATAAGAAGTGGAGGCATGATGAACCTTGGGCTATATAATGACAAAGTTGTCAAGAATGGCATGAACAATAGGATGACTAATGGGGGCTGTAATGATTTCAACAACCTCACTCTCACAAGCCTGAACAGATGGGCTAGACTTGGTGGTAACTCGTCGAAACCATTTCTTGGCCCATAATCATCTAATAAATAGACCCTTTTGCCCAGGCCTAAATCCCAGCAAGCTAATTTTTTCTAGACCGAAAGCCAATAAGGAAAGGTGCACTCATTATGACAGAAATAAACACACCAAAGATACGTGTTTTCAGCTACACAAGTATCCAGAGTGGTGGTATGAATTGAAAGGAAAAAAAACGAACAAAATGGCCATGCAACATTTGTTACTAATACAAATCCAAATACACCTGTGTCACTTAATACTCAACCTCAGTCTATAACTCAAGACCTATTTATTATTGATTCCATAAACTTCGTATCTAATGATGAACATGTAAACAATTGGATTATTGACTCAGAGGTGACATATCACATGACCTTTGATCATAATAACTTTAAAACAAATCTAATTTCTTGATGAAAGGCCATATCAAATGCCAACAGTGATATATATCCGGTAACAAGGGGAGAAACAATGGAATTATCAACCACATTCACTCTCCCTAATATTCCTTTTATTCCTTCACTCTCCGCTAAATTACTATTAGTAGGGCAAGTAATATAAAATTTAAATTATTGCATATTGATGTACTCTTCATTTTATTTGTTTTAGGATGTTCTTATGAAGAAGATTTTTTCCATGGTACTAAGAGTGGAAGGTTATATTCTGTGGATGATTTGGATGTTGGAAAAGTTTATTCCGCCCAATCACCACAACGACAAAGATAAGACATTTAGTTATGACATTACCAATTAGGACACCCATCATTCAACTATCTATAACATTTATTCTCTACTTTATTTGAAAATGTATTACTTTCTAGTTTCAAATACAAGGATTATACCCTAAGTAAAAGTCATCGAACAAATTACCCTATCAGTTATAATAAATGCAATGTATCATTTGAGATTATTCACTCTGACTTATCAGGTCCTGCACCTGTTATGATTACTAATGGCTTTAGATGGTTTATCACCTTTTTTTATGATTGTACGAAGGTCTTTTGGGTTTATGTATTGAAACATAAAAAAGATATCCTACCAGTTTTTCATAAATTTATCACCTTTATACAAACCAATTCTCTATACGCATTAAAACTCTTCAATATAATAATAAAGGTGAATTTATTAGCTAAAAGTTTACATAATTTTGTGATAGCAAGGGCATCATATATAAGACTACTTATTCATATACTCCTCAACAAAATAAAATTGCAAAATAAAAAAAATAGACACATATTGAAAACAACACATACCATAATAATAGTTGCCCATATACCCCAACAATACTGGCCTGATACCATGGGTATATCTATTTATTCTCTCAACTGCATGCCATCCCGAGTACTTAATCTTCACATACCACTCTAGACTTTAGAACAATATGTTAAACTACCTTCAACACTCCATGTACCTCTAAAGATATTTGGTTGTGTTGTATTTGTATATGTTCTAAAGCACCAACAATCCAAGTTAGATCCATATATTGGTCGTTGTGTCTTTCTTAGCCATGGTTCTTATATAAAAGGATACCGGTGTTATGATCCTTTACATGAAAACTCTATGTTACTATGGATATAACCTTTTTTTAGACCAAATATTTTTTCAATGAACCATCCCTGTCTATTCTTCAGGGGGAGAATAAACATGAACAACATATATAGGAATAGGTTTATCATGGACTATACTCAAACAGAATTAGTGATTACTAAGTAGGTCAACCACGTCGAATTATATACTTAAGCCATATCAAATAACCCCTCTCCAATATACAACACGACCAAAATCAAAATCATGAAGACAATCACGACATTACAACTAAGGTAAGATCTCTTGACTCTCTTACATTACCTGATTCTATGACATACAATTTACCTCAAAAGCATAATTAGAGAGTGCCCCCAAACTGGTACTCACCATAAATAGAAGGATGAAAATTCAAATACTCTATTGAAAATTTTATCTCAGCCAATAACATATTAGATGCAAAAAAGTCTTTATAGAAAAAATATCTTTAGAACATGTACCATGAAGCATTGAAGAATTCATGCTAGATGAACACTAGAAGATGGTTATCTATGATGAAATGAAGGCTCTCTAGAATAATAATACTTGGAAACTATCTATATTGCCAGATAGGAGAAAAAATATTTGGATGCAAATGGGTGTTTATCGTGAGATATAAAGCAAATGGAACAATAGAACAATACGAAATGAGACTAGTAGCTAAAGGATACACACAGACATATGGCATAGACTATTAGGAAACATTCTTACCAGTAGTCAAACTGAACATAATTCAGATACTTCTATCACTTATAGCAAACCTAGACTAGCCTTGACATCAATTTGATATAAAGGAATGTATTTCTTCATAGAGATCTAGATGCGGAAGTGTATATGGATGTCTAGATGAGGAAGTGTATATGGATGTTCCTCCTAGTTTTGCTAGAAGAAAATATGATGTGCAAGCTTACAAAATCACTTTATGGACTGGAATAGTTTTTTAGAGCATGGTTTGAAAGATTTAGTCTAGCAATGCGAAAGCATAAATTTAGCCAAAGCAACTCGGAAGTAATGGGGGGAAATAATAGCTTTGATTATTTATGATAATGATTTGATAGTCACAAAAAATGATGAAGAAGAAATTTTAGAATTATAAAGGTATCTAGTATGTGAAGTATGTGAATTTGAAATGAAGAATCTTGGTGAGTTGCAGTATTTTTTGGGTATTAAAGTATATAGATCAAAATTGGGCATATTCTTCTCACAAAAAATAATGAAGAAGTAATTTCAGAATTATAAAGATATGTTGCATTGTAAACTTATGGATACACTAATCATACAAAATTATTATTTAGCAGGATATCTAAATCAAGTTCCCATAAATAGAAAATGATATTAAAAATTGGTGGGAAGACTCATTTACCTTTCTTATACATGTCTTGATATCATATATGCAATCAGTCTAATTAGCCAATTCATGCACAACTCAAGTAAAGTATATAGAGGTAACAATATGAGTACTTATATACTTAAAATCCTTTTCGGGATGAGAAATTCTTTTCTCAAAGAATGATCACCTTAACATCATTGGTTATACTAATACAGACTAGGCTCAGAATCTAACTAACAAAAAGTCTACGTTAGGCTACTTTACCTTTATTCGGGGAAACTTGGTGACCTAGAAAAGTAAGAAGCAAAATATTGTTGCTCTATCTAGTGCTGAAGCAGAATTCAAAGGATACCAAAGGATTATTTGAAATACCATGGATAAAAGGGCTACTTAAGAAGCTAGGATATTTTATAGGAATTCAGATCAAGATGTACTACAACAAAAAAGCCATAATTGCTATTGCCAATAATCCAGTTTAATATGACCGAATTAAACACGTGGAAGTAGATAGACATTTCATTCATCAAGCAGAAACTCAATGAGAAGATCATAATTTTTTTTTTGTTAAATTTGAGGATCAATTAGTAGATATACTTACTAAAACAGTATCAAGTAAAATGTTTCATTGCTCTCTCAACAAGTTTGGCATATGAGATATATTTGCACCAACTTGAGGGGAAGTATTGACAAGAACTAATTTAGCAATCAAATATTACAAAATAGAAAAACTAGAAATAAAGAATAAGTTTAGGAAAGATTTTGGTATATTTCTATTCTTAGTTTTCCATCTTTAAATTAGATTGTGATTGTACATGTATAATACAAGTTCTATGCAAGAAAAAAACATCATTGTGAATTTATGCAAACAATTATCTTTAAACTACCTTAATATTGTTGCAATAATAACCAATAAAAAAAATGATAATAGGCTCGCTGACATAAGTTTGAGCCGAGCAAGAGAAAAACCTTTGAAAGGCCTCATTATGTGTAAGACAATACTTCTCCTTCTTTTTTTTTTTAAAAAAAAACTTTCTTTAACAATTACAACTTTTTAATTTCTTACTAGCTCTTTTATTTTTGAATTGCTGTAATAATTTTTTAATTCTTAAATTTATTTCATGCTTAGGTATTACATGTTAGCAACCAATATATATCATGCATTATTACACTCAAAGTGTGCCGAAAATCATTGTAATTTCTTGTCTTTGGAAAACTTGTTAGTATTTCCTTTCATTCTTGATCTAACTGTTTTTGTGATTTTTATTTTAGAAAAAGAACTTGTTAAATCTTAGAAGATAACCTTGTTAAATATCTTTAAAGACATTATCTGTACACACAGCTCAAGTTTTATTAATTTTCTTTTGCTTTGTCATATTTTATTTACAAAATATATGCTAAAATGTAAAGTGCAAAAATAATATTTATGTTGGGTCAAGTTTGTATGTATCAAACATGTTGCCAAAAAACATAGAAAATGGCATGCAAAATTTATAAATAAGCATAAAAACTACATTTCTCTTTAAATATTTTACTTGATAAACAACATCTCAGACCCAACCAACCACAAGTAGTTTTACACGATTTATAATCCTGGAGATGCCTTTTTATCAATTATGCAGTATTTTCATACAATTTGTGTCCATTTCATGGATACAGACACAAAGTAATTAACACTATAATTATATATGTAATAGCAAATATACTTTGCTAATCATTAAAACTCAAATCACAAAACAAGATCGAGGTGATCTGAATCATCCACGTGTCAAAGAACCAACACCTCTAGCGATCTCATGCGTACTTGCAACAGCATTGAATCCTAAGCACCCCAAAAGACCTTGCTTGTAAGGCAAGAACGTTTTCCTTCTCATTTCCTCTGAAACAGCCCGGTTCACTGTGTAATGCACCTCATGAGCTGATATAGGCCCTGATCTCCTCCTGGCACTCCCTACACTATCCGTGGATCGAAAGCTAGAATTCTTGACATCCTCTGTCCCTTCTTTTTTGGACATAACTGAAAATCTTGTTAGCTCATGATTGCAACTTGTTGTTCTGCTACCTTCTGATGCGCTTCTGAATAGCAATAAGTCCTTTAGCTTCCATTTCTTGTACCTTTTCGACGTGAATGACATCGCGGATAAGATAGAAGATGTGTGAGATGATTTGGGGGTGCTTGCTTTTGAAGCAATAGAATTTGAATTCTGGGAATTCTCTTCTTGGTCAAACATGATGTCTGAAACTCTTAAAGGAGATAAAGATCTGCTTCCTTTACGTACAGAACCAGCCGAAAATGAAGAGCCACCGTTTCTTCTGCCTCTTCCACGTTGATTGGGTGGTTGGCCTTGTTGATTAGCTTGTAGTTTAACCTCTCTTTTACGCGTCTCTTCAATGGCAGCTTGAAAGGGATCAAATCCCTTTGTGGTTCTTGATATTGGTGATCTTGGAGACCTTGGAGAAGAAACTGAGGAATCATAGCCAGGTGGTGGCTTCAAAGGCTTGATCTTGCCACCATCAAAGAGTTCTTCAGCCGATAAAGAAGCTCTTTCTAAATGACCACTAAAATCGAACTCAAAATCTTCGTGAAAACCATCGTGATCACTATCATTCCTGCTGGTTACTT